TCTGAAATGACGGGAGGTTTGAAATTCAAATTCATAGTCACGTGACGGGATTAAAGCTAAACATATCGTAAGGCTAATTTCATAAATAAAAAATAAAAAAATAAAAATATTTAATAACTTCCGATCTTTCAAATGATAAAACAATGCAGAAGGACGTATAAATATGCTCGTCCAGTTGAAAAGTAAAAGTGAAAAAGGTTCGTTAAAGACGCCGGACGACTTCAGATACAGATCTCATAAAGACAAGGTGAGGATTTTAAGTGAAACTTTTAGGCGAGGAAGTGTGGAAAAAAAAAACCCACAATATTTCGGATGTTAAATCAAGTGGCAAATAAGTGAGACGGATCAGTAACGTTTCTTTAAAAAGTCATTCACGAGAAAACATCGAATGAAATAGCGAAGGAAAAACATGGAGTCCGATTTTCAGATATTCTTTTTCACAAAAAATTCCGCGCTACTCTTTACGAACATTAATTGATATCTAAATAGAAAGTGTTTTTCAAGAACTTCGACTGTTAACCTGATTAAAAATTTATACAACATTATGAAGTGAGGATTTAAAAACTTGGTGGACATTATGAATGTTGGAATGTTTGGGTACCCTGCAATACTAGTGAGCTAGCCAAAATAAGCTGGCTCATTTTATAGTCCATCAAGAGAAGGGTTAACCAATCAGAAAGCTCGAAATATTCAATGCGTCGTGTATAAAGGCAGCCATTTTGTTTTTTTTCCGAATCTTCATTGCCAACCTCTGATATTGAACACATTACGTACTTCACTGGATTCTATATTCAAAGACTACGGCAAACATAGTCAACAATGAAGAGGAAGGTTTAAAATATATTTACATTGGCTGCTAACAAAAATGGACTTTAGAATGTTATTCTGGATGCAATCCCTTACATACAAAACTAAAAAAAAACAAACAAATAAACGAAAAAAACAAAAATAGATGATTGACTTTTAAAGCTAGTTTCTGAACATAGTAAATACATTTCACATTAATAGTCTTTTATAACACTGCGGTTTTAACAATTACATTTTTACGTATTTTGTTCAAAACACTTGTCTTTGTAATCTTTGCACCTGCTCTATAATTTTTAAGTTTTAATTGAAACATAATTCTCCTAGTAGTTTTAATAATCTAGTTTATGCAAAATATAATATAATTCTTAAAACTGTTGTCACATCGTAAGGGGTACATGTTGACGATTATAATATATATATATATATATATATATATATATATATATATATATATATATATATATATATATGAAATATCCTGCACATTTATAACGCCTATCTTTCCGTGAATCTCCTGCCTAACAATTCGGAAATATTAACAGTAGCTGATAATATGAGGCGCAGACTGTCAGCATTTAAACTTTTTTTTATTTTGCTTCGAAACATTTCGCTGATAGCTTTCGTCACTTTTCGATTCATTTCATGATTACTTTATTTTCGCATCGTTATCACGTCTTTATTTACGAGTTTGATAGAAAGTTAAGTTGTTATTAAAAGAGGGTTGTGCCTTTTTAAAGGGAGCGTTCTGCGCGACGGTGGACCAACAAGTGCGCGCTGCGCCCCCAAATCACTATTCATTAGCGTAATTAGTTTCCTTTGCATCATCCGACAAAAAAACAAACAAACAAAAAACAAAAAACAAAAAAAAAAAAAAAAAAATAAAACAGCTTCGTTCCACGAAGGGCTTGTATCTGAAGGAGACTCTCTACAAGATGAGAACAACAAATATCTTCGTAGAGCGTTAGGGAACAGTTATCAGATTTTGGTCATAATCTATCTATCTATCTATCTATCTATCTATCTATCTATCTATCTATGTATAGATAGATAGATGAATAGATAGATAGATAGATAGATAGATGAATAGATAGATAGATAGATAGATAGATAGATGAATAACAGATAAGATAGATAGATAGATAGATAGATAGATGAATGAATGAATGAATAGATAGATAGATAGATAGATAGATAGATAGATATGACAGAGGATAGATAGATAGATAGATAGATAGATAGATAGATAGATAGATAGATAGATTGAGATGAACAGACAGAGTTAGTTATACATAGATAAACAGAAAGATAGATACGAACAGAACAAGATAGATAAATATTAACAGACTGAGATAAATAGCAACAGAGGAAGATAGATAGATAGATAGATAGATAGACAGATAGATAGATAGATAGATAGATAGATAGATAGATAGATAGATATGAACATATGCTTGTTCAAATTTTCGTTGGTGGCAATTTTTAAAGTACTCATTTGATCAAAATTAAAAAGAAACAGTTTAAGCAATAAAATCATCGTGTGTAAGCTTTACGAGAGGGAATTGAGAATGGAATAATTTCACTCTATCTCATTTCTTTCTGTATAAACAATATATGTTTAACATTTCCTAGGATTATTCATATTGAGTGGACTACACCTGTTCTTATTCTCATAAACATCTAGTTATGTAGATACACATGATAGATATTAAATGTACATAAATGCTGCACAAGCAAACTATGTTCATTATTGAGTAATTATTGAAAAGATATTAACAATTTCACTTGAGTAAATGATATTGTGAATCCTAAGAAACAATGACTTAATCAATATCGATTGAAATCATGAATAAATATATTTGGTCGATACTCAAGTACCTTATGTAAATATCTCCGCCTATTACGGTGTTCGCCCGGGTTTCGTTGAGCCGACTCCATCAAACGAATTCGCCGCATCCCAAGCAGAGCAGAGTTTGTATTCATTGGGACGTTCAAATCCATAGTGGGGTTTTCGAGGGGGGATTTAGATTCCCAAGCTCTACGCAGGCGCATGTATACACACTTTAAGGATAGTATAATCCGATTTGAATTCATACTTTCCTTCCCCGTAAACGGGTTGTCATCCAAGGCTATAGGACTCTTTTTTTCCTGATATGTTATCCATAGCTGTAGGCAGAAACGGCGGATTGCCTTCTCTTACGCTATTAAAACGCCACGCAGTAAACCTCTACCTCGAGTGGCTTTTAGGCCTTGTATAGGTTGAACATAAGTATAAAAAGCGTTATAGATAATCCTTAATCTTTAAATGACGGGCATTATTCTTTGATGTTTCATTAACGATCAACGGTTATCGTCAATTGATGATTTAAACCTTTTTCAACGATACAGGCATAATTTATTAATAATTCATGTCTATTTGACTAATTAGCAGTTAATTAGCAGCTGTAACACTCAAAAAGCTTACTATTTATTAAGATTCACGAAGTAACACCATTTCAATGAATATTTGTTAGTAAAAAGTTCCTGGAAGGCAGTTCTATGTTTTTATGCATACTTATCCTTTGTGATGTCGATGAACACTCGTTTGCCACTTTTGTACTGTCAACCAATACTCGTTGTCACTTTAGTTATGCTCGTTGTAGTAGAGACTTTGTAATCGCAGATACAACTATAGTAACACCGTTGGACAATACTGATGTCAGACGCCTTCGAATAACACTAATAGTACTTGCTCGATAAAACTCGATCGAATAGTAATCCGTATAGTGATCTGAATAGAAATAGTATAGTGAATAGAGTCGAGAATAGCGGTCCGTATAGTAATAGAGGATAGACTAGAAATAGCGATCCGAATAGTAATATAGGATAGACTAGAAAGAGTGATCCGAATAGTAATAGAGGATAGGCTAGAAATAGAGATCTGAATAGTAATAGAGGATAGACTAGAAAGAGTAATCAATTAGACGTCACGCTACCTTCCATATATGCGTTTCTTCTATAGTGACATGGTCTACTTAATTCAATAATGGGATCGACTGCGTTTGCTCACTGGCGATCTATGTTCAAACTCAGGTATCGGCAGTGATTTTATTCCTATATAACATTCTCGAAAAATGGTAAGTTAGTGCATAGAATGCTTCAAAGATCATTATAGAATTACAAATATTAATTTAGAGTTAAAATATAATTTAGATATCTTTTGTAATCGTTTAATGGTGTTAAAGAATATCTTTACTTTCTCGTTTGGAACAATAATTTTTCAGCGCCTCTATCCAAATGCAAGTAGATGTAGAATTAGAAAACAAAATAATATGTGCATATTTTGGTCTCGCCTTAGTGCACCAGTTGTTCAGCTTTAGTCTCCCACCAGCTGCCCGAGTACTGACTTCGCCGTTTTCCGTCACTTTGTTCCGGACATGGTTTAGTGATCTTGCATCGTTAATAAACGATGCATAAATCTAGGAGTTATCTTCTCTAACCTACGAACAGTCATACACCCAGCTTCCTTCATTGGTTTAATGATAAGTACATCCCAGAAGTCATGCTTTCGGACAATATAAAAAATCTATCAGGCACCAATGTGTTGGTCAGAGGTGCGGTCGTGATCTGAACGAGGTCGGGATGACCATCAGGATTTTCCCAACATACAGACTCAAAAGAATGATCATTACTGTTAATTTTGTCAAATGGGTGATTTCTGATTCTTAGAATGTGTCAAGTCTGGCGTTGAAGTCTACGAGAAGGTCAATATGTCAGTAGATAATCATCTATCAATATATTCAGTAGAACTGATCGTTCGGGTTATCGGAGATTATGGGGGTAGGTACACGGGTCAGTCAGGGTGCTATTATTTTCCGGTTACATTATTGTTTCTTAAAATAAATTCAAAACACTGCCGGATTTTCGTCTTGTTTTGAAAATAACAATCAAAACTCGTCTCTTTAAAGTTAGACCCCCCTGCTACTGTGCGAGGTTCTGTTAAACAATCGACGTCGCAAGAAGATCGTCTTTTAAAACAACGTCCCGAATTTTCTAAGATTAATGTCTCTTAAGTAAACATTCAGATTGATGAAAGCTTAAAACATATCGGAACTGTTTGAATCGACCAAATTATATTTAATCCTTTTTTGAGAAATAATTGATTTTCCATTGAATTTTTGTTGGCTTTTTTTTATCCGGACATTCATTACCCATAAATGTTTACATTTGTAAAACAGATAAATTTCTTTCATATTACACCTTTCTTTCTTTCTTTCTTTCTTTCTTTCTTTCTTTCATTACTTATATATTTCTCATTGCCTACTTCTTTCTTTCTTTCTTTCTTTCTTTCATTACTTATATATTTCTCATTGCCTACTTCTTTCTTTCTTTCTTTTTTTTTCTTTCTTTCTTTCTTTCTTTCTTTCTTTTCTTATTATATATTTCATCTCATTTTTCTCATTGCCTACTTTTTTCTTTCTTTCTTTCATTACATTACTTATTGCCTATTGCTTACTTTCTCATTTTTCCTTCTTCTTCTTTCTTTCTTTCTTTCCTTCTTTCTTTCTTTCATTACTTATATATTTCTCATTGCCTACTTCTTTCTTTCTTTCTTTCTTTCTTTCTTTCTTTCTTTCTTATATATTTCTCATTGCCTACTTCTTTCTTTCTTTCCTTCTTTCTTTCTTTCATTACTTATATATTTCTCATTGCCTACTTCTTTCTTTCTTTCTTTCTTTCTTTCTTTCTTTCTTTCATTACTTATATATTTCTCATTGCTTACTTCTTTCTTTCTTTCCTTCTTTCTTTCTTTCATTACTTATATATTTCTCATTGCTTACTTCTTTCTTTCTTTCTTTCCTTCTTTCTTTCTTTCATTACTTATATATTTCTCATTGCCTACTTCTTTCTTTCTTTCTTTCTTTCTTTCTTTCATTACTTATATATTTCTCATTGCTTACTTCTTTCTTTCTTTCCTTCTTTCTTTCTTTCTTTCTTTCTTTCTTTCATTACTTATATATTTCTCATTGCCTACTTCTTTCTTTCTTTCCTTCTTTCTTTTCTTTTCCCTTATATATATTTCTCATTGCTTACTTCTTTCTTTCTTTCTTTCCTTCTTTCTTTCTTTCATTACTTATATATTTCTCATTGCCTACTTCTTTCTTTCTTTCTTTCTTTCTTTCTTTCTCCCAGTTCTTTCTTTCATTACTTATATATTTCTCATTGCCTACTTCTTTCTTTCTTTCTTTCTTTCTTTCTTTCTTTCTTTCTTTACTTATATATTTCTCATTGCCTACTTCTTTCTTTCTTTCTTTCTTTCTTTCTTTCTTTCTTTCTTTCTTTCTTTCTCCCAGTTCTTTCTTTCATTACTTATATATTTCTCATTGCCTACTTCTTTCTTTCTTTCTTTCTTTCTTTCTTTCTTTCTTTCTTTCTTTCTTTCTTTTCTTTCTTTCTTTTCTTTCTTTCTCCAGTTCTTTCTTTCATTACTTATATTTTCTCATTGCCTACTTCTTTCTTTCTTTCTTTCTTTCTTTCTTTCTTTCTTTCTTTCTTTCTTATTACATATTTCTTTCTTTCTCGTTACATAGTTCTTTCTTTGTTTCATATTAAACATTACTTTCTTTCCTTTCTCGTTACATAGGTCTTTCTTTCTTATTACATATCTCTTTCTTTCTTTCTTTCTTTTTTTTACATATTTCTTTTCTTTCTCGTTATATTTTTTCTTTTGTTTCATATTAAACATGGTTTCTTACATTTTCTTTGTTAATAGAATAGCAGAAATCGCTCTCATATATATGAAACATTCGGACAGTTTTTACACATTTTATGTTCCAAAAAGAAAACTACAAGAAAAATTTATTAAACAGCATAATCGCTATACCTTGTCAGTCGTCATTAATGAAAAACCACACACACACACATATATATATTTATTTGTTTGAAGTATAATTTCCATATTCTATTTTTTCTTTCTTTCCTTCTTTCTTTCTTTCTTTTTTCTCGTTACATAGTTCTTTATTTCTAATTACATATTTCTTTCTTTCTATCTCGTTATATAGTTCTTTCTTTCTTTCTTTCTTATTACATATTTCTTTCTTTCTCCTTCTTATTTCTTTCTTTCTTATTACATATTTCTTTCTTTCTATCTCCTTATATAGTTCTTTCTTTCTTTCTTATTATATATTTCTTTCTTTCTTTCACCTTCTTAGTTCTTTCTTATTACATATTTCTTTCTTTCTATCTCCTTATATAGTTCTTTCTTTCTTTCTTTCTTTCTTTCTTTCTTTCTTTCTTTCTTATTACATATTTCTTTCTTTCTTTCTCCTTCTTAGTTCTTTTTTTCTTTTAGTAGTATCGCGTTTCCTTATTTCTTTCTGTTTTATTCTTTTATTACTTTTCATTTTTAGCTCATTATCTTCTATTTTTTCATTCCTTTATCGAATTTTTTCTTTATTTCTTTCTTCTCCCCAATGTATGTCTTCCATGTTTCCTTTTTGCTCACCACCATCAATGTGCACTCATTTACTTAAAAAAAATGGCGAAAACATAAATATTGAATCAATTAGAATTATTACATCGTCGGCATTTTCGACATCCCAGTAGCGACTTGTCTATTTCCTTTGTTTTATTTATGGCGTGAGCCCCACCATTGTCAAAGCTACCCTCAGGCGAACAACAGTTCCATGTGTACGATCAGTAACTCTCGACTCGGCATAATAAGATGGCGAACCAAAAATAAGAAAGAAGCAGACGATTGCACTCATTGGTACAAAATGCTTATTGAAGTGTTACTTTTTTTTTTTTTTTTTGGCTTTTGGTTCAACACGGGGCAGCAAAGGATGGAAATTTTGTAAGTAGGAGAACAGTTTTTCTCCACAAAACAACAACGAAATGAAAAATACACTCAAATAAGAGAAAAGAATATGGATGATGAAAAGTATTCCATAGAGAAATATGTCACGGAATATGTATAGCGTTAAGTACTTTAAAATTCGTTTCTGTTCATATATGCTTCAAATACACAAGAACTCAAAGAATAGTGGACAAATATATCTAAACTCATACATCTACACCAATTGATAGCAACCAAGAAGAGACATGCATACACCTATAAGAGGAGGTGCTGAAAAATTCTTACACTTACTTTCCAAAATCTGATCATATGACCAAACATCAGAATTTCTTTATGAATAACTTCGTGGTTGGGTCAAAAATTTTCAGTATCCCCCACCCTCGTATTCGCATGTAAGTGTATATTTGCAGTTTGAAAAAAGTGTAATATATATTTTGTTTTTTTTAGAGGAAAGATATAAGAAAAAAATGGATAAGTTTTCGTGTAACGCGTTTCGTCCCTTAGCGCTTCATCAGGCTTCCGGTTTGTTTCCATTGATGCGACTACGCATGCGCAGGAATGAGAGATGCTGGGGATGTTAAATTAAAAAAAATACTTTTTTTTTTATATAAATCTAATTTTTGGCATCTGTTTCGGATGTATAATCTACTGATTTCATTTAGATACTTTTTTTTTCTTTTTGTTTCCATCCCTTTTGTTATTAAATAACCCACACTGTGATAATAGAACATCAGCCAAGATATACTGAAACGTTATAAAGCCCTAAACGCAAATTTACTGTGGATGATCGAGCAATTAAAGTAGTCTCTAAACCTTTTCGTCTTAGTGAAGTCTGGTGAGGTCCGAGAGAACGAAATACGTCGCACAAAAACTGTTTCCACTTAGTTATAAATCTTGCTCGCCACAATTATTCTTGATATATAAAAATGTATATATCATTATTCCACACACACACACACACACATATATATGTATAATAAAAAGGCTTAAACACTAATATTCCATGGTCATAAATTATTCCATTGGAAACGTAAATACGATCCAATTCATCAGACCTACAAATTCAAAAAGAAAACAGAAAAAAACAAATCCGGAATAAAAAATAAAATTTAGTGAGAGTGTATGTATGAGAGTGGGGGACAAATGTTAGAGTAAATGAAAGCTATAGAGAGGGGTAACAGACGAGAGAAGAGGAAGGTCTAAAGATGAAAGGTGGGGATATTAGTGTTTAAGCCTTTTTATTATATCCTTACTCTGTCCTGGACATTGAATTCTACCTGGATTCTATTCTATTGGATTTATTTTTTATACAAATATATGTATGTGTATGTATGTATGTATATATATACTATATATTTTACATATATGATTGCATATGTATGTGTATACTACCACTAATATATATTATATATATATATATATATATATATATATATATATATATATATATATATATATACATATACATATATATATATATATATATATATATATATATATATATATATATATATATATATATATTAATTAATCCAATGTCCAAATATTATATTTTAAAAGGTGTACAATACAGCGTAGAGCGTTTAAAAATATTTATTAACAATTATAACAAAACATTTTATTAACAATTATAAGAAAAACATGGCCCAAAGAAGCCCCGATCGTGTGGAAACATGATTGCATTTATGTAGTGGTTTATAAAATATTTTTGTGATAATTTTTAATAAATATTTTATATAGCCGTAAGTTCTATGATAACAGTGGCTTTTCTCGCACTTCTCGCTGCAGAAATTTAAATGCAATGTCAATCGCATTCTACTGTCCGCCTCATTACTCTCTTCTCTTTCCGCTTATTATTAATATTTCAGTTCCTAATTCATCTACACCGTGTAACCCCTTGTGTTTTATGGCTATAATGTCTTGCTTGGGGGTGATACCGATTAAATAAAAAAGGCAAAAGAAACGTCTTATTTTACGTGAAGGAAATAAGATTAAATAATTTCAGTTAAAAAATATACCGTCAAAAATCTTAAAAATTTAAGTAATAATTGAGAAGATATCCATTTTAAAAAAATATTGGCTGTAGTCAATAAATAGGATTCGAATTTGGACAGAGTGTGGACGACACAGCACCACACATGAATGATTGTTTATCTCATCAATATCCATAGATTAATAAATCTATAAAAAAGATAGTATATTATATATATATATATATATATATATATATATATATATATATGTATATGTGTGTGTGTGTGTGTGTGTGTGTGTGTGTGTGTGTGAAAATATACAGAAAATAGGAAAAGAACATGTTAGGTAAATAATCCAAAAACAGAGCTTGGCACTTTAATTCAATTTAATTCAAATAATTATATTGAAGTTTTCAGCTCTTGTTTTGAAACATGAGAACTCTTATGTAGCGATGGAATCATATTTTAAATAAATAATTATATATATATATATATATATATATATATATATATATATATATATATATATATATATATGAGGTGTAGGTGTGTATATGCGTATATATATATTTGTGTGTGTGTAGATATGTGTGTATATATATGCGCGTATATATATATATATTGTTTTGATAAGTTTGTAAATATGTAATTGAAGATGAGCAGTAGCTATTGTTTTGTTCATTGAAATGGAAACATTAAACAAGTTGGTGTTTGTCTTTCGTGAGAAGAGCGAGAAAAAGACATTGTGAAAATGTTTCATTTATTCATATTTCTTTCTGTGTTTTCTAAGAAAACTATAAACGAAAACATGACAAGGACAAAGAAAATCGAAAATTCAAGGCTTGCTTTTCGCAGAAATAAGATTGGCTTGCGAGAGATGTATGGCTTGATATGAAATAAGTAATCAGAGTCCATAAGTTTATATATCTGAGAAATGTTTTAACAGAAGATGGAAAATGCGAAACCGAAACCCGAACGGGTATTGCTATAAAAAAAAAAAGATGCATTCTAAAACCTAAGCAAGGTATTAAGAAACGGGAAAAATTCGTGCTGATCTGTTTTGTTATATTAATCCTCTTTTATAACAGTGAATGCATCATGATCTCATAGATGAAGAGAAAACTGAAGGCTCAATAAATATGGTTCTACAGGAGGATAGTGAGAATACCATGGACGGTTCGCGTAAACAACGAGAAAAATTTAAGGAAAATAATGGAACAAAAAGGATATTTATAGTTAGTATCAGAAAAGGAGAGCTCAAATTTCTGGGAGACCTAAGAGGAAAGAGGGCCATGGAAATTTGGCAGTCACGTGACTGATTGGAGGCAAAAGGGAGACAGCGGGTTATCGACGTGACGAGCTTGTGTTAATGGATGTTGGAACGGAGAGTTTGTTACATGGCAAAGGTTCAAGCGTTGCTAAGAGTTATAAGGGATAGGAGGCTGTGGAGAACTGTGATCGCTTGCAGTGACAGGGCATATAGAAGAATATTGATCTGATAGAAAGAAAAATTATACGCATTTAAATCACTTGATTTTGACCTTTAGTTTTCTTTGCCTCAACGCTACATTTCGTCTAAGTTGAATAATCTGCCATGAAATAATAATTTTTTGAATGCTTTGAAAAAAATTCTAATAGCTTGATTTTGTCAAAACCGCTGACGAGACGAAAAGATTTGCACGTAAGAACAAATGTAATATTCTTAATGTAGAGAATAATTATCATATAGCGGAACCTGCCAGCTGCGTCTCATTTACGATTTATGAGACCATATGCGATCATGCAAACAAATTACCACACGTTTTCTTTAACCAGAAATTGCGTTACTATGAGTCATTGAAACACGCCAATTGCTCAATGTCGATCTGCAAAATTACATTTTGGTCAAGTTTTCAGCAATTCTTAATATAATCTTTCTTTTGAATTCCATCCAAGAAAATATCGCATTAGATTCCACTTAGGTTAAGCTGTTCAAATCTGTCTTGTATCTTGCAATGAATTTCTTTTGTTACATTATTTCGATATTGTAGCTTTGTTAACTGCAAGTTGAACAAATCTAAAATCTTTTTATCCATTTAAAGTGCTATATTTATTAAAAATATATCTTGGGTTAAATACAGAAGAATGTCTACAAAAGACCTGCTTGGACTGCTTTTCTCTTTATCATGAGTGGTTGAAAGAAAGGGAAATTAATTTCAATATCATTCAAATTGCGCTTTTATATTTGCGTGAGCGCATGTGTATTTTAAGTCAATGACAGACCGAAAATATCAGGTCATCCCATAAGTTCTGTCCGAATTTTGAAAAAAGAAAACAAGTGACCAAATGTTACATTTAATTACAGATTCAATCAACAATGTAATTTCCCTGATTATCTATGACTTACTTCCATCTATTAACAAGCTTACTAATTCCTTTACTGTAAAATTCTTTTGGCTTTGATTCAAATAACTCACAAATGTCAGTTTTAACCTCTTCGTGTGTTACAAAAGCTATTTCTTCCAAATGATTCTGTAAGCTACGAAACAAATGGTAGTCTGAAGGAGCAAGATTGGGAGAATAAGGTGGATGAGGAATTTTCTCCCAACCAAGTTCTTCGATCTTTTGTGACGTGATTCTTGCTGTGTGGGGTCGCGCATTGTCCTGATGAAAAATCACCTCTTTTCGTTTCACTAGAGCAGGTCATTTTTTTCTCAAAGCTTGGTTCAAATGCTCTAATTGCTGACAGTATATTTGAGCATTAATTGTTGCATTAGGTGGTAATAATTCAAAGTGGGTTATTCCTTGGCGATCCCACCAGATTGAAAGAAGAACCTTTTGCCCATGAAGTTCTCTTCACAGCTGTGGCTGGGGTCCTTCCCCTTTACTAAGCCACTGTCTATGACACTTAACATTTCGATAAAAGATACATTTTTCATCGCCAGTCACAAGTCTATCCAAAAAAGGTGAAACAAGTTGGCGAGAATGGAGAGAAGAGCAGATGTCAACTCGGGATTTGAGTTTGTTTTCAGACAATTCATGAAGCACCCATTTTACAAGTTTAGGAACTTTTCCAAGTTGTTGAAGATGACGATGAACAGTTGTATGGTTTGAACTGAGAACCACTGCCAATTCCTCAACTGATAAAGCGGGATTTTCTTCAAGGGCTGCTTCAAGAAGCTTTTCATCAAACTCAACTGGACGTCCGGTTCGATCTTCATCTTCAAGGGTGAAATTCCACCTTTGAATTTTGCAAACCATCTTCTGCAAGTTCTTTCATTCACATTCCTCTCCATAAACTGAGTGAATGTTTCTAGCCGCTTCGGCTGCTGAGTTTCCTTTCTTGAACTCATAAAGCATTATGTGCCTCAAATGATTCTTGGGTACTTCCATGTTAGCAGGGTTTTAATCAAACAAAATTTAATTTTATTGTTCTCTGAAATAAAATTTGATCAGTTTAAATGCATCTAAACATAAAAATAATGTTCAGTTCCATTAGACATTATAAAATACTCTTTAAATTTCGTTCATTTTAACAAAAAGTTAAAATTCGGACATCACTTATGGGATGACCTGATATTTCTACAAGTCTTAAAAAAGCTTTAAATATAATTGTATTTGTTACCGAATAAGTTTTCTAAAAGTTCAGCAAAATCTTTAATAAAAGTTCAGTAAAATTTTATAATTATTTTAATTTTTGGGCCTTAAAATATTTAGCTTTTTTGTTCTATATAATCTTATTGTTCAACCCAGGATAGAGATTGTCCAGACTGAGTCGGAAGGGGTTATATATTTTAACATTTTATTACAAACACAGTTAAATTGTGTGTGCATGACTGTGTCACCTTTCATCCCAAATATCAATTTTTTTTGTAAAATTTTTATTCTAGATATGAACTCACGCACGCACGCACGCACGCAATTAAGCGCACATTACACACACACAAACATATATATATATATATATATATATATATATTTATGAATAAAAATGACAATAGGAAAACTGGTAATTGCTGACGCGTTTCGTCCAATGTGAACTTTATCAAAGCAAAATACGAAAATATTTAAATCGGAAAATTTTTCATATATATATATATATATATATATATATATATATATATATATATATATATATATATATATATAACATAACAAAAAAGGCTCGAGACCATTTACAAGACCATAGGAAATGAACGAATATAGAGATGGAAGTGTTCGTACAGACTGGAAACGTCTTCGATGTAACTTTTTCCTTAACGAAAGCACCAAGAACGCTATACTGTAAAAGATGAAATGTTGCAAACATTGCAAGAATAAATATAATGATTATCCAGAAAATATTGGAGCCAAAAACTAAGGAAATCAATTTAAACATCAAAGAAAATCTTTACGATGATTTAAAACCTTTTAGAGTGCAACTCAAGTTTTTATCCGTATTTGAAAATTGAAATTCAAATACTGGAAAAAAGAAATGTGCAGCGGAAGTACACAGAATTCTTGTTGAGACTTACAGCGACCATGCTCTGTCAGAAATAACATGCAGAGATTTGTTTCGACGCTTTAAAAATAATGATTTTGATGTTGAAGATAAAGAACGCTCTGGCGTAACGAATAAGTTTGAAGACGAAGAATTGGAGATATTATTTCATGAAGACTTATGTCAGGCCCAAACTGAACTTGCAGAGTCCTTAGGAGTTGATCACAGAACAGTTTCGAAACGTTTGAAAGCTTTAGGAATAATTTAAGGACATTAGATGCCGTACGAGCTGAAGACGAGAGACGTCGAACGGCGTCTTGTCACTTGTGAACAGCTGCTTCACTGGCAGAAAAGGAAACGTTTTTGCATCGTATCATGACCTGCGATGAAAAGTGCATACACTACGATAACCCGAAGCGTAGAAGATCGTGGGGATAAGACCGGCCATGCATTGACATCGGCAGCAAAGCCGAATATCCATGGTTCAAAGCTTCTGCTCTGCATTTGGTGGGATCAGCTGAATGTAGTTTATTATGAGCTGCTCAAACCAACAGAAGCCATCACCGGAGATCGCTATCGTTTGAGCTGAGCATTGAAGAAAAAAATGGCTGCTATACGAGCAGAGACACGATAAAGTGATCTTGTAACATGACAACGATAGTCTGCATGTTGCAACACGGTTGAAAACTTACTTGGAAACACTTAATTGGGAACTCCTACCCAACCTGACACATTCACCAGACATTGCCCCGTCCGATTATCACTTTTTCCGAGCGATGGCACATGGCCTGTCTGAGCAGCACTTTCATTCTTGTGAAGATGCCAACAAATGAGTCGACTCAAAAGACGTGTCGTTTTTCGACGTGGAATTCAGATGCTGTCAGAAAGATGAGGAAAGAAAAGTAGTGGCTAGTGATGGACGATACTTTCTTATTAATATTTTTAAATAAAACATTACTTTTCATGAAAAATCAGCGACAACTTATTCAAGGGCCTAGTATGCTGCTAAAAAAATTATTTCAGTTAAGCTCTCTGGGGGAGGAAGTGTGGGTTTGTAAACAGTGACTATTACGGCCAATAATGCATGCCTGTTCGGTAAATTGAATAAAGTTCTCTCAGTCACTGTGTGTATATCTAAAAATAAATACGCTTAAATTCACCTTCTTAGAACGGCTTAGAGATAAAGCCTCCGACTGACGCTAATTCATTCGGGTTTCGATCCTAGCTAGAGGCAACCGGACGTCTAGCCACACTGATGAGCTGTGATACAGCAAAACAGTCTGTCTGTGGATGACAATATATATGCTCCTGAAAAATTTATTTCGGTTGAGCTCTCTGGGGAGGAAATGTGAGTTTGTAAACAGTGACTATTACGGCTAAAAATGCAAGACTTCGGTAAAGCCAATCGATTTCTCTCAGTTACTGTAGAGGAAGTGTGGATTTCTAAACAGTAACTATTACATCTAATAATGCACGACTCTTCCTTAAGTGTGTGTGTGTGTGTGTGTGTGTGTGTGTGATTATGTGTACATTCATGCGTTTGATATGCCTTATCGTAAATTCAATTGGTCTTTATTTTCATGGCCATTGTTCTGATGAGTTCCTTTTAGTCCCTAGACTTCATCAATTTAAGCAAAATTCTAGACTGGCAGTTAGGTCTCATGCTTTTACCGGACTTGCTAAATGGAACCGTAAGTCCTATTCTAATAGTTTCTTCTGTCGTATTTCTCGCCTGTGGATATCTTATCCGGCATTTTGATTTTCTGTTAACTACAATCTTCAAACATTCAAATGTAACGTCAATCGTGATCTTCTGTCTCCTTGAATCCTGATGTTTTTATTGTATTTTCTCCCAAGTAAAAATTTCCTAGTTCTCTTCGCACTATTGTCTTTCATCGTCAGTAGCCCCTTGCATCCTAATAGCATTATCTTCTTGTTTGGGAGAAAAAGAAAATATCTTTATTCGACAAAACAGGAGTTTTCAGTAAGAGGGTATGGCAAATTAAATGTTGTTCGGTACATGCAATAAAATCAACTGCTTAATGGTCGCATATATGCAGAGTTGTTGTCCATTACCTATGATTTCGATATTATGCATCTGACAATCGATCGATTAAGCAAATTGTCAATTCATTTGTCACATCTATCTATCTATCTATCTATCTATCTATCTATCTATCTATCTCAGCCTTTTTCATATCTATCTATCTATCTATCTATCTATCTATCTATCTCAGCCTTTTTTATTTCTGTCTATCTATCTATCTATCTCAGCCTTTTCATTTCTATCTCTATCTATCTATCTATCTCAGCCTATTTTCTATCATTTCTATCCTATCTATCTATCTATCTATCTATCTATTCATTCATCTATCTATCTATCTATCATCTATCTATCTAGTCTGTTCCATCTTCTATCATCTATCTATCTATCTATCTATCTATCTATCTATCATCATTATCTATCTATCCCCTAGTCTGTTCCTTATCTATCTATCTATCTATCTATTTATCTATCTATCTATCTCCTCGTCCGGGGTATGACGATAAACTACGTCCAGCAGGAGGTTTTGAGGAGCGTGGAACCCCCTCTTAATTCCTGGTGTCCCCAGGTCCAGCCACAACCAGCTATGGACAAATAGTTAATCCCCAAACTGGGGTCAAAACACTATGAAAGTCCAAAAATAGATTTTAATACCAGAAATACTTTTTGTAAAAAAAATATTGCCAGCAATAAGTTTTTGAATAAAAATATATTACCAAAAATAGATTTGTGAATGAAAAAAAAATATTACCAGAAACAAATATTTTATCGGTATTAAATAACCCATTGAGGCTGGTGTGCCATAAAACAAACCATACCAAACCTTCTTTCTCCTTCCTATCTATCTATCTATCTATCTATCTATCTATCTATTTTATATACTTTTGTTTATCATTCGCACATTTATCATAAGTTATGGAACATCTCAAATTCTCTGTTGTCCAAAATTTGATCAGATTTCTGAACGCCAAAATCTTTATCATTTCGGTTTTTTTCCCCTCTCAATCTTAATGACAGATATTTAACTCACACACACCCACTTTTGCATGTTTCAGTTTAATTAATACGGCGCAGACATAACAGTTCTTTGATAATTCCCGTTCTAAAAAAAAAAAAGGTATTTGAACGAGCATTTTAATTTTAATGTCGGAGAACAGTGACCAGATCCTGTGACAAGTACGCTGTAGAATTATTTCGATTATTATCAACAAAAAAAGTATACAAAAAGGAGAGAGGGGTGGGGGGGGCTTGCATCCAAGAGGTAAAATTAACGGGTTTTAAAGTGTGAATTGGATTATTGTTCTTGGTTGTTATGTAAAAGAGTGTAATTTTCAGTTGCGGTTCGCCACCAGGTGGTGCTAAGCGAAAAGATAAAATAATTACTGAGAGAAAGAAAATGCAGAAAATTTTGGGAATAAAAAATAGGAAGAAAGAATGAAAAGAGAGTAAAGGGGAAAAAGGAAACAATGTGAAAATAATACAAGTGAATTATTGTTTTTTCTATTTGTAGATGTTCTTAGTAATAAAGAGAAAGAGGAAAGTGTAGCCATTGGAAAATAAGACGATTATAAAGTAAATAATGAACGGAGAAAGATATAGTGGCCGTATAAATAAATAAAGAAAGAAAGAAAGAAAGAAGAAGAAGAAGAAGACAATAATGAGGAAGAAGAAGAAACAAAGAACAAGAAGAAAACGACGACAACGCATCATCATCATCATCATCATCAGCAGCAGCAGCAGCAAAAGAAGAAGAAGTAGAAGAAGAAGAAGAAAAGGGAGAAACAGACAAAGCAGAAGAGAAGACGATGAGGACAAGGACGAAGAAGAAAGAGACAAAGAAAACAAGGAGAGGAAAACGGAGACGACGACGACGAAAAATAAGAACAGCAACAACAAAAACAAGCGGCAGAAAAAAGGAAACAAAGCAGCAGAAGAGGCAAAAGAAGAAGTAGAAGCAAAAGAAGAAGAAGAAGTAGAAGAAGAAGAAGAAGAAGAAGAAGAAGAAGAAGAAGAAGAATAGTTAAAAGAAGAAGAAGAGGCAAAAGAAGAAGAAGAAGAAGTGTGAAAAGAAGAAGAAGAAGAAGAAGAATAGGTAAAAGAAGAAGAAGAAGAAGAGGCAAAAGAAGAAGAAGAAGAAGAATAGGCAAAAGAAGAAGAAGAAGAGGCAAAAGAAGAAGAAGAGGCAAAAGAAGAAGAAGAGGCAAAAGAAGAAGAAGAAGAAGAAGAAGAAGAAGAAGAAGAGGCAAAGAAGAAGAAGAGGCAAAGAAGAAGAAGAGGCAAAAGAAGAAGAAGAAGAAAAAGAAGAAGAGGCAAAAGAAGAAGAAGTGGCAAAAGAAGAAGAAGAAGAAGAAGAAGAAGAGGCAAAAGAAAAAGAAGAGGCAAAGAAGAAGAAGAGGCAAAAGAAGAAGAAGAAGAGGCAAAAGAAGAAGAGGCAAAAGAAGAAGAAGAAGAAAAAGAAGAAGAGGCAAAAGAAGAAGAAGAGGCAAAAGAAGAAGAAGAAGAAGAAGAAGAATAGGTAAGAGAAGAAGAAGAGACAAAAGAAGAAGAGGCAGAAGAAGAAGAAGGAAAGAAAAGAAGAAGAAGAAAAAGGCAGAAGAAGAAGAAGAAGAAGAAGAGGAAGAAGAAGGAGAGAAGAAGAAGAGGCAAAAGAAGAAGAAAAAAAGAAGGAGAAGAAAAAAAGAAGAGGCAAAAGAAGAAGAAGGGCAAAGAAGAAGAAGAAAAAGAAGAAGAAGAAGAAAAAGAAGAAGAGGCAAAGAAGAAGAAGAGAAAAAGAAGAAGAGGCAAAGAAGAAGAAGAAGAGGCAAAGAAGAAGAGGCAAAAGAAGAAGAAGAAAAGAAGAAGAAGAAGAAGAATAGGTAAGAGAAGAAGAAGAGACAAAAGAAGAAGAGGCAAAAGAAGAAGGAGAAGAAAAAGAAGAAGAGGCAAAAGAAGAAGAAGTGGCAAAAGAAGAAGAAGAAGAAGAAGAGGCAAAAGAAAAGAAGAAGAAGAAGAAGAAGAAGAAGAAAAAAGAAGAAGAAGAGGCAAAAAAAGAAGAGGCAAAAAGAAGAAGAAGAAGAAAAAGAAGAAGAGGCAAAAGAAGAAGAAGAGGCAAAAGAAGAAGAAGAAGAAGAAGAAGAAGAAGAATAAAAGAAGAAGAAGAGGCAAAAGAAGAAGAAGAAAAGAAGAAGGAAAAGAAAAAGAAGAAGAGGCAAAGAAGAAGAAGAGGCAAAAAGAAGAAGAAGAAGAAGAAGAAGAAGAAGAAGAAGAAGAAGAAAAGAAGAAGAGACAAAAGAAGAAGAGGGCAAAAGAAGAAGAAGAAGAAAAAAGAAGAAGAGGGAAGAAGAAGAAGAAGAAGAAGAAGAAGAAGAAGAAGAAGAAGAGAAAAGAAGAAGAAGAAGAAGAAGAAAAAAGAAGAAGAAGAGGCAAAAGAAGAAGAAAAGAAGAAGAAGCAAAAGAAGAAAAAAAAGAAGAAGAAGAGGAAAAAGAAGAAGAAGAAGAAGAAGAGGCAAAAGAAAAGAAGAAGAAGAAGAAGAAGAGGCAAAAGAAGAAGAAGAAAAGAAGAAGAAGAGGCAAAAGAAGAAGAGGCAAAAGAAGAAGAAGAAGAAGAAGAAGAAGAAGAGGCAAAAGAAAAGAAGAGGCAAAAAGAAGAAGAAGAAAAAAGAAGAAGAGGCAAAAAGAAGAAGAAGAGGCAAAAGAAGAAGAAGAAGAAAAAGAAGAAGAAGAAGAAGAAAGAAAAGAAGAGGCAAAAGAAAAGAAGAAGAAGAAGAAGAAGAAAAAAAGAAGAGGCAAAAGAAGAAGAAGGGCAAAGAAGAAGAAGAAGAAGAAGAAGAAGAGGCAAAGAAAAGAAGAGGCAAAAGAAGAAGAAGAAGAAGAAGAAGAAGAAGAAGAAGAAAGAAGAAGAAGAAAAAGAAGAAGAAGAGGCAAAAGAGAAAGAAAAAAGAAGAAGAGGCAAAAAGAAAAGAAGAAAAAAAGAAGAAAAAAGAAGAAGAAGAAGCAAAAAAGAAGAAGAAGAAGAAAAGAAGAAGAAGAAGAAGAAGAAGAAGAAGAGGCAAAAGAAAAGAAGAGGCAAAGAAGAAGAAGAGGCAAAAGAGAAGAAGAAGAAAAAGAAGAAGAGGCAAAAAGAAAAAAGGGCAAAAAAGAAGAAGAAGAAGAAGAAGAAGAGGCAAAAGAAAAAAGAAAAGAAGAAGAAGAAGAAAAGAAGAAGAAGAAAGAAGAAGAAGAAAAGAAGAAGAGGCAAAAGAAGAAGAAGAAGAAGAAGGCAAAAAAGAAGAAGAAGAAGAAGAAGAAAGAAGAAGAAGAAGAAGAAAAGAGGCAAAAAGAAGAAGAAAAAGAAAGAAGAGGCAAAAGAAGAAGAAGAGGCAAAAGAAGAAGAAGAAGAAGAAGAGGCAAAAGAAGAAAAGAAGAAGAAGAAGAAGAAGAAGAAGAAGAAGAAGAAAAGAAAAGAAGAAGAGGCAAAAAGAAGAAAAGAAAAAAAGAAGAAGAAGAAAAGAAGAAAAGGGCAAAAGAAGAAGAAGAAGAAGAAGAAGAAGAAGAGGCAAAAAGAAAAGAAGAGGCAAAAAGAAGAAGAAGAAGAAAAAGAAGAAGAGGCAAAAGAAGAAAAAGTGGCAAAAGAAGAAGAAGAAGAAGAAGAGGCAAAAGAAAAAGAAGAGGCAAAGAAGAAGAAGAGGCAAAAGAAGAAGAAGAAGAAAAAGAAGAAGAGGCAAAAGAAGAAGAAGAAGAAAAAGAAGAAGAGGCAAAAGAAGAAGAAGAAGAAGAAGAAGAAGAGGCAAAAGAAGAAGACGAAGAAGAGGCAAAAGAAGAAGAGGAAGACGAAAAAGAAGAATAAGAATAAGAAGCCAGGTGTTTCAATGACTGAAATGAAAGCAGTATTTGTGATTGAAAAGCTAAAGTAAATATATGTTAAGAAAGAGACAGAAAAGGAATTCTAAAAATAATGAAGGAGAATAAATTAACAAGGAAATAAAATATGCAAAGATGACAGAAAGGAGAAACAGAATCTGTTTCTAGTTAAAATTAATTTTCAAAATACATGAAATAAAATAAAGGAAAGCACAATGAAAGAATGGTAAATGAACCAAAAGCGAAAAAAGAAGAACGAAGAGAAAAAGTAAGGGAAGAAGAAAATCAGTAAGAAAGTAAAGAAAGGATAAAAGAGACGAGGAAATGAATAAAGGTGAAAAAAGAATTGGAAAATTGAAAGAAAATCAAGGAGGAGAATGAAAAGAAAAAAGAAAAAGAAAGAAAAATAAAGTATAAAGAGTGTTAGGAAGAAAAGAAAAAAATATAGAAACAAAGCGATAAAGAAAAGGGGGAACGTATGAAAGGAAAAAAGAAGAAAAAAGAATGATAAAAATAAAGAAGAAAAGGTAGCAGCAGATGAAAAAGAATTGCAAGATCTTGATCCATATAAATGAAGATGAATGAATACTAAAGAAGAAGAAAAGTTGTTTTTTTTTTAACAAAGCAATAAACCACTCACCTGAAATTGAAAAAGAAATTTAGAAAACTGTAAAGCAAAGAAAATTGTAAAACAAGGAAAAGAAAAATAATCGGAGCAAAACGTCAGAATGAAAGCATAAACCTAAAATCCAGAATTATGCAAGAAAAATCTTTGATGACTAATTAAATGTACAAACATATCTGCCATCAAAACGATTGATAATTACTATCTTAAGGACTTATTTAATTGCTTTCTGTGGAAAGAACAAGGGCGAATGGATTTAAAGAATAAGAAAGCTAAAAAAGTTTATAGCAAAAAAAGGAAAATAAATGAAAAAGAAAAAAAGAAAATGAAGGAGAAAACTTCCCTTTGAAGTAGAAAATTTAACATGAGTATCAAACACTGGTGCGTGGAAGGTTTGAAGTCGAAAAAAAAACTGAGAAGAAGCGTGCAGCTATCGGCCTTTTCTCACGGAAAATGCTAATCTATTAAA